GAAAATTTTGCCTCTATGTTGAGTAGTAGCATTTTAAAATTGAAACATATTGTCGATTTAAGAGTTCCTACACCATAGTTTCTTCACATTTAATATTTGTGTTAAAGTATCTCTAAAAATTGTGCTTGATTATTCTAATTACTTATGTAAAATTCTAGTATTAATTGTTATCTTACAAAGTATAATACCGTAACACAAACTTTCGAAAAAATTTACAAATCTTGAATCATTCGTTTTGCAGAAAAAATAATCGATTTACTAAAAAAAAATGGAATAAATTAAAGTTTAAATTTTCTATAAGGAAAGGTATTATAGTCAGCGCTTGATGGTAAATGTTCAACATTGATTAAATCAAACTTAAAAAGATGCTATTCGCAAAGATTTAAAAAGATCATTTAAATCTGTCAGATTTCCCTAATTTAAAGATTTTTCTACTGATATTGATATGATCTTGACGATTTTAAATTGATTTCTACTTTTGATTATCGTTATGAATTCAAGTAATTTTATTGGTCAAGTGAGCATACACATGCAGAATTTGCAGAATCAATTGCTGGACACTCCCTCCCTGTCAAAAATCAGGACTCGGATCTAAGCACTAAAAGGATCAATATAGACGGAGTGTTATATTGGTGTGGCTCATCTAGTCGTATCAAAAATTTTAAAGAATAGAACTCATGATTTTACTCTATTCGAGAATTAACAATGATATCCCCCACATTTATTGTCTTGGCAGATTGCTTCATCAGGAGTTATTGAGCTGACCATTTGTTTCCTTAGAATTTCCCATGCAGAGGGTATTTCCCATGTGTATGTTCGAAGCGACTTCGATTTTAGTATACCACATGAAATCAAAGAGAATCGTGTGTCAAGAAAAATTGCAAATTACAAAATAATGAACGAGGGTTATTTTACCATTTAAGAAATGATCAGCAAAGAATATCGAAAAGTTATGAATATTAACTATTTATAAAACAATTTGATGAATGTTATTGTAAGGAAATAAAAAAACTGACATTGCATGAGCTATTATTTATCATTATCACATCTTCAAAGCATAAAACTAACACTTCTTTACTTTTTTATCTCAAATATGGGCACATAACAAAATTTTCATGATACATATAAACAACAGATATCAAACAGCAACGAAACGTAACGTAAAGAACGCTTTCTCGAAACAAATTACTTTTCAACCGAAAAACAAAATGGAAAACTTAACTACCTCTATCGCTGCAACACATACCATCGATCTCGATCGTCCGTCACTCCACTCGTCGGGAAAAGCGTTAACGCTGCCTTAAAGAAATTTCAATATGAGGAATGATCGCAAGAAAAACGTTTATTACAAGAAAAAAGTGGAAATTTGGTTGCTTCACAATCTTGGAACTGGTAAATCTGCGAGTTTTTCTTGAACTTTTTAGCAACGATAATTCATAATCTAATTAGTAATAACATATCAAATGATAATCCAGCTCGTCAATTACGGTCGTTACGTCGAGTAAGACGTTATTTGAAATATATTATTCATCAAGCCCTCTAAGAAGGTAAAATACTTATTAACCTGATTTCATTTTTAAACTTTTTCATCGCAACGTAAATTTGTAACTTTTTCGTGAATCTCCTCTTTCATCGTTTCTTTCGTAAGTTTTTTCACCGCAACGTAAATTTGTGAATATTTTCTTTCGTAAATTTTTTGCTAATCACTAAATTTTGACCCCTGAGATTATTTGTTTATTCGTATTCAGCAAATTAATCATTTATTCACAATCTTGTTCTTGATTCCGTTTGTTTCTCCTAGATACATAGAATATACCTGTATATTACACGTAATATAAATAATATAAATACATGTATATATATACATATATATACATATATACATAGACAATCTACGTGAATCTGGAATCTCACAAGATTCATTAGTAATATTTTGGATTTGCTGGATTAATGAGTCATAATCAAACAATCAATCAATCATCTTACTCCGCCCGCTTTTATTCGTAGAGCCATAGACGAATTATTTATTGTTTGTATTTACGTCCATTAAAGTAATTTCGTAGTAAGAGGTGGCTAATTAATTAAAAATAGCGGTAATATAGTAATATAAGGGAAAATATAAGTCGTTGTTGTTGTTACAATTTTTTCCGCGCCCACGCCATTAACGCTTTCTTCCCATAATAGTGCATGTTGCTTTTTTTTAAATTAATTATCAAATAGAATAGTATAGACTCTTACTCTCTCACACATGTCATTCTTAAATTAATTTAACAATTTTTATATGTGTAATATTTATTTGAGTGGTATACTTACTCTCACTGTAAGATAAATAAATAAGTATAACATAAAAAAAAAAATCCCAAACTTAATCAGAAAAACCAAGAGAAATTAATGATTGGCAAAATTAACAATCCAATTGATGATTTAATTATTACAGTATTTATTATTTGGTTTCGTGTTCTCGTGTGTACATCAATGAATCATGTACATATTTATGTTTCGTAGTGTATAAATCAAATCAATGTGTCGCTTATCTATTAGTCGATCACCCATCCCATCCCATTCCATTCCCATCCTATTCCATGTATCATACTCAGCAACAACAACAACAACAGAAGATGCGTCCTCCTCCTTAATCAAAACTACTAAATTAAATTAAAACTAACCACCAATAATAAGAATAGGTAATAATAATAAATAAATAAAAACAATAATAATAATAATAATAATAAAAAAATAATAATGATGTTTACACCTGCTTTTCTAACTCCTGCTGCTGTTGTTTCTTTTTTTCTCTTTCTCTTTCACAAGCAAATAAAATTAACCTTTTTTTTTATTTATAGTTTATTTAATCCATCATCATAATAATCAAAATCACCATTAATCCTTCTCCTCATCTTGATCAATCAATAAACGGACGGACAAGAACAAGCAAGAACAACACAACGTAACACAAACAAAAAACAACAACAAAAAACTTTATTATACTCTGAAAACTTGTCGTTGTTGTGTTCAATGATGATTATATTATTATACAGTATAGAGAATTAGACTACTTTTTATACTCAGATAATATGGTAATTTAGAAACAAGTATTCATTCATCATCTTCTGCATCAACGACATCATCTCCAAAAGAAGAAGACTTGGTTTATCGGCATTAAAAATAACAACAAAAACAACAACAACAATAATATATACACATAAATAATAAAACACGAATAATAATTAAATTATAATATATTATTATTAATATGATATACTCACCACACCGCACTAAACATCATCACCTACCCAATATGCACATATATAATCAACAATATAATAAAAAGCGACTCCACAACTTATAAATACTCTGATATCTCACTTTCGATTACAACAACAAAAATAGTGAATCTAATACACATTTAAATATACAATACCATACATAAATAAAAGAAGTATAATAAAATTGTGCGCGGAAAATTGTAAAAATATATAAAGTGGACACTTTATTTTTTACAACTCTTCTAACAAGTCAAAAATTATATCTTCTAATCATTTAACACACATAAATCTTAAATTTTCTTTAAAAGGAGCCTTTGCTCAATTATTTCTGGATCAAAAAAAAAAGTTCAACTAAAATTACCATAACCATTATTAGTCTTGGAATTCTAACAGCACTCTTACTTTTATAATCATTACTCAAAATGCAAAATTACCGTTATACTTCAACAATAACACAACAACAGCAACAAACTATTTCTAAACCAATAATGATGAATTCATTAATGCAACAACAGCAGCAGCAGCAACAGCAGCAAAAGCGAAGAAGTACATATCGAATAGATCAATTTTCAACAGAAAAGATATCAGATTTCGCTGCACAGATGTCTTGTTATCTTTGGTTTAGTGACATAAATACAGATCAATATCAATCATCATCTTCACCATTAACCCCTGGAGGGAACTCATCATCAACAATAGTATCCTCAACATCTTCACTAAGGCCAAGATTCTCGGATTTTCGACCAAGAGATGCATTCAAAAAATTTTGTCGTGATGTGGTAACGGCTACCCAAGTCTCGCACTCGGTGATATTACTATCTCTATTATATATCTCTCGAATGAAATCAAATAATCCCGCAATACAAGGTCATCCCGGATCTGAATACCGAACCTTCACGGTGGCGTTAATGTTGGCAAATAAATTCTTGGACGATAACACATACACGAATAAAACATGGTCAGAAGTAACAAACATTTCTGTTCGAGAAATAAATATAATGGAAATTGAGTTCTTGGGATCACTAAATTTCTCGCTATACGTATCGGAAGATCAGTATTTCGATTGGCTACAAATAATGGATCAATTTGTATTGGAGTCGGAAATGTCTCTTAGAAATTCGAACAGAGATCGATTAACGCAGGCTGATTGTGGAATTGCAATTAATTCCTCGTCATTCGGTGGAGTTAATAGCAATATTAATGCTGGCGGTGTAATTCCCATGGAAATCACTGCAACACCCTCATCATCAGCATCATCATCAAATTCATTCAAGCGATCCGCTGAAGAAGCATTTGTTGATACTGGAGTTGTCACTTCCCCACCAAAAAGAGCTTCAATTTATCCTACTACTTCTGTTTCCACTTCCTCATCCTCACAATCACAACAACAAACAGCCCCTTCAATCGCGAACTCTACAATACAAATTATGCAACAATACATTGCTCAGAGACCAACAACGACTTACTATCAACTTCCATCATTTGCCAACTCATCAAATACGATGAACTTCTTAAATTCTTCATCACGACAGCAGCAGCAGCAGTTACACCAACATCATCACCAGAAGTATTATGGAGTTCAAAACAACTCCCTCGCCACGACGAAACTCTTACTCCAAGCACATTTACAACAACAGCAGCAATATCAATTGGAAATTTTGGACCAGATGCAAAACTTGTCTGCAGCGAGAAAACTTCATTTGCAATCAAATTTCTTGAACGCTCGTTCACCCGCTGGATTTGCGCAGATCAATAGCATGCCATTTCCAACGACAGTAGTCTGACGTCTTCTCTAATGAAAATCTCCATTTCCAAGTAGTGATAATATCGATAATTGGACCAATTGTTAATATGGTAATATATAATAATTTAGCAATAATTATAGTAATATAATTAATAGCAGGATAAGTTGAATTGGATAATTACACTCAACACACAATTATAATTACTACTACTACTTGTATCAATATCACTACTCGTGAATAATCTGAACATTTATTTCGAATAGCAAAATTTACAAAATATATCCAATCGTACTATATCCATCTCCTTGTAAAGGCGCTTTAACTTGTAGCGCAAATTTCTCGATATATATGCAACTTTTACATAACACATACCCTTTAGTTATACCGTTTTCTCTTGTACAGATTTTAGATATCTTCCCTATTCTTTTTTTTTTATCCCTGCATTTTGTACTTTAGTCTTTGCATATTTTTTTTTCTTTCTCGTCTTCTCTTCCCTTCCCTTCCCTCCCTCTCATCGAAGGCGGGAAGGAAAGGGGAGGAGATCTTTGTTATTAGCTTGTTTGATACATTTTTCCCCATAAATAAATACATTCTTCTTTGATAAATATTCTAATACTCCCTTTACTCCCCTAAAAATATAATATACATTTTTTTTCTGCTTTTTTTACATACATACACTTAAAAGATTTAGATTAGATTTTCTCTCTATTACACATATTACTATATCTCGTGTAATAATATGTATGGTGTTGGTGATGGCAGTAATGAAGGACAACCACAACCACACACATACACGCGCGATGATTATCATTTACCCCTAAAAATAGCGATTATTTCTTCGTATAAAATTTAATATAAATCAATAATAATAATAATTATACAGATAACATATGTTTATATACATAGCTGCATATTTTTCTTGCATAAAACAAGATTATGATTAGCTTTTTCTTTTTTCATTCATATACTGAAAGATGTACACACATGCTTGAGATGAGCCATATGAATTGCTTTGGAAAAAATAAAAATCAGAATGAAAAATTCTTGAAAGTTTATATTCGCGTTCGTGACGACGCGTTTATAACTATACTAAAATAACAATCTACAAGTTTTCAAATGATTTTTTCATAATACTTATCGTTATTTATTCAAGTAAAAATATTAATTTTCGTGTCGCGTATACGACACGCGTTTTCTGTCAATTGGAATACACGTGATCTATAGAAAAAGCATAGATGAGAGACCGCATGATCTCAAGATAAAAAAATTTTATTAATTTCCCTTTAGCTAACACAGCCCAACGAATCTCTTACTTTTGTTATTCTTAGAATCTAGTTTAATTTCTTGTTCCCTCCATCGCTCGCTCATTCACTCACTCTAAACAAATCAACAAGCTTTGTTTTAATCGGGTATTCTGACGCGTGGAGTTTGATTGATAGTAAAATATCACGAGAGATTTTTGATTGGACAAAATCAAAACACATGTAATGATACATTAAATAAGTATTATCTGTCCCTTTTAATAATTTACGGATAATATGATCACGTTTTCCTGATTTGCTTTCGTATTAAGGGCATCTATTATGAGAGGGAAGGAGGTAAATGTGTAATTAATGATGATTACCTACAACAGGTAACCCAGAGGGTGTCAGTCAGACAAATACAAGTTTTTCAGGCGTGTGAAAAACCAATCATTAATCATTGAATTTTTTGCTGGTTTTTTTTTACATGAACGAAATCAGAATCGATTTAATTGATCACTGTTTATTTAATATTTATATTGCTTATTGTGATAGCAACTATCGATAAAGTCGTGTCTATCGTTTTGTGGTCATGTATTGTTGTTTCGTTTGAATCGAGATCGAACCAACCAAACTAACCACGAAAACGAAAGATATACATGACACATTACAAGTAGTGTAGATGGATGTTGAAAGACTCTCCACAGAAGAAAAGTCTGGTGATATGACGATTAGTGAACGGAAAATAGATTTTTATTAACAATTACACATTACACAACAATCCAAATCTGTCATTTATTTATTCATGCTATTTCATTTCGATCATTCGTCCGCTGGGATGGTTATAAATTCATGTGGAAGATCAAAAATTCTTTTCCCATCCGTTCATCCGTCCGATCGGTGAGGTTAATCCGTTGATTTTCTCTATTTTGTCTTCTTTTTTTTTTGCTTTTACGAACGAGACAATAGGTTATCCAATCATCTATTGTGTTCTTCCACGGAATAATATTTCATAATAAATGTTGACGACAAAGACTCCCGCGCGACGATAGTCTATGTACGGAATGTTATTTACTATCATAAATGTGCAAAATCGTCATCTATCAAACAGATACATGCCATCCAAACACACACAAACAAACAAAATAAAATGGGGAAAAATCAATTCGTTCGGGCTGACGACGAAATGTCAACATTAATATAATATCAAATATAGTGATTGTGAGGTTTTTCGTTTAGCCAATATTGATTATTCTGACACGCACACATTCTCTTTTTCCTCCCATCGCTCAAGTCACACAGTTACCCAGCCCGAAAATCGAAACTTTAATGGTGGGTGCCAAGTTTGCCATACAGAAAAACCGGCATGCAGATTAGCAACGTACGCCATCCTATAGATGCTACATGGTTACACGCAATAAATGGCTTATGACATACACATAAAGCATAAAGCAAATATTAAGGGGGCTTAAAGTTATTACGTTTATTGCTCGTGCTACTTTGAAAATTTTTCGTTCTAGATATATATGTATATATCAAAACGGTACCATTCTGAAATTTTTTATTTATCGTTATCGACTAGAAAATGAATATCTATATTCAGAAGACAACTTTTTAAAATCAGTTACTTACATTAGTAAGACTCTTTGGGATGAAGTTAGCTTACTAATAAACAATAAAGAGATTTCAAAAAATTCTGGATTAACAAAACTACGTACAATCAGAGCTCTAAATGCACGCTCTGATTTAATTCCAAGTATATGAAGCTTCAAGTATTATACACTCTGTAATCTAAATTATGTCTGATTTTTTCTATGTTTCCCGATAACTTGCACTTAGAAAGGTCTGATTATAAAAAATGTAATTATAAAGAATTCTAAAAATTTTGTTTAATCAGATTTTTTTATTAGTTTATTAGTTATTTGAAAAAATACTTTGTTTAAAACACAAATTATAATTTATTTCATATAATTTAATAGTTAGGTAATTTAATAAAGAATAAAATAAAAAAATAATGTTTTTAGAAAAAATAATAAAAATATTATAAAATAGTTAATATAATAAATAATAATAAAAATATATTATTATTGTTGAATATGTTTTATATAATTATATAATTCAAATCAAATAAAAAAATTATAAAATAGATAATATATATTTATTTTTGTAATTAACTAGAGTAAGATTAGAAATCTTTTTGATATTTTTTAATTATAATTATAATTTCAATAATAATCAAGAAATTATATAACAATAAATATAATTTTGCAACAACTTATAAATAAATAATAAAATAGAAATTAATCTAGCAGAATTAACTTATTATTGAATAAATAGAATATTATTTAATTAATTAAAAATATTACAAATCAAAAATCTAAAGAAATACTTATTAAGACTTGTTTATTTTTTATTTAAAATTTATAAATATAATATTTATCAAAAATAATCTATTTGCTATAATTTTTATAAATAATATAGAGCATGCTGCAACAAAATCAGACAAAAGTAAATATTGGTATTATTAAGAATTTCAAGAATCAAAATTTAGTTATTATTATCATAATTAGGTTTATAATATTCTATTTATTAATATTAAGTAATATATAGAATTATCCCTATATAAAAATAGTTAATATGAAACTCATTTATATCAGATCTACTATGGAATCCAAGAATTATAGTATAATTAGAAGTATTTTAAAAAAGAGCAAGAATTTATCAAGAAAAAAGAAAAATATTAAATATTAAAAAAAGAAAACAACATGAAGATGTGCTATTACTCAACAAAAAGCAAAAATTCTTAGAAGAAAAATAATCTTATTGTTACAATATTGATTTATTTTTTTTTAATTTTTCTAATAACATAAATCATAGCAATTATAAAATCTAAAAAAGTTATATCTATTATTCATAAATAGATATCATAATTTTCTTTATTCTTTGAAATATTATTTTTATATTCATCAGTAACTTTATCAAAATCTTTATATTTATAATTAGGAAAAATGTAAATCTTATTTTTATCAGTAATACTGTAGTTATTTTTTTATAATTATTGGATTATCATTAATAAAATATTAAAAGCCAAGATATTTTCTCTAACTTATATTTAAAGAAAAATAATTATCATTTTCTTTAATAGTTGGAATAAATTTCAATTTATACAAAAAAAAATTACTTTCTTATTTTTAATCAAGATCATTTCTTAGTTTTTTTAACTTCAATTTGAGCAATTTGATTATTCTTTTTCTCTTTTAACTTTTTTGTTTTTCTCTTATAATTGTTTAATTTTTTCTTCTAAATTCTTTATCTTAACCAATAATTTTTGCTTTTGTCTCTTACTCCACTCTTCAGATTTTTCTTGAAATTTGACTACTTTTTTTCTTTCAATATTCAATTCTTCTTTGATAGTTTTCAATTTCTTTTCAAATTTTTTGATTTTCTTTGCTAAATAAGATTCAATAATTTGAGAAGTTCTTTTCTCTGTAAAAAATATTTTGAATTTTCCATCTTTTAACAAACTACAATAATAATTTTATCTATTTCTTTGTAATCTATTACAAAGTTTACAATAAGAAAAATTATCATTTTCAAAATCTTTCTTACAATCAGCACAAATAAAATCAATATCAGCAGTAAAACTATCTTCATAATATGCTACCAATTCGTAAGTGATATTATTAAGAACTAACTCATCACTAATTATATAGTAATTACAGTATGAAACAGATAATTTTGTTCTTTCAAGAATCTTATATTTTAACTTCTTTATAACAATCTATTACTGCTTTAAAA